GCTGGGCTGGGAGGTCAGCCCGGAGCAGGCGGAATGTCCTTGTTTCTCGAGACCCGGTTCTGGCATCCGGTTCGATGTGCATAACCCGGGGTTTGGCGGAGGAAGCCTTTGCCTCTCCCGCAGTCTGGTAATCATTGCACCGGCTTGAGACACGATCGCGCCTTCTTGGGGGGCTCCCCCGGGGGCGTCTGGGAAAGAGATCCATTCCCACGCGCGTCCAGCCCGATTCCTAGACCAGGTCAGAGAGAGACCCTGAGTGGCCGAGCCCCGGAAGGATGCCCGCCCGTCGCTGCCCTGCTGTGGCCGCGGGGCGAAGAGTGTTGTCAGAGTTACCTCCTACCACCGATCCCGGGTCCTGAGCTTTGGGCCGATTCAGAAACGCCAGGAAACGTTGCGGAGCCCACCCGCCCGCGTTTTCCGCGGCCCCGGGAGGATGCTCTTGAGATGAAATCAGGGCTGAGCTCGGAGACATCTGCACGAGACATAGACACGGTCAGGCAGCCGCCGCCACGCAGAGGGCACGAGGTGCCGGGGCAAGTGGGGTGTGGGTCGGGATGAAGTTGATTCTGTAGAGAAATGGCCGCCCCAAGAATTTTTCTTTTTTTCTTTTCTCTCTCTAAAATAGCGTCTCTTCTCCTCTGGGTTCCTCTGCACCAGGCAGCCTTTAAGACTCAGCAACTTTGGTAGCTGGAGAGTGTTGCTCGGTTGCCCAGCGGGGGGAGGGGTCCAGGCAGGAGGGGATTTTGACAGTTTTGACAATTTCAGGGAGAAAGTGAACGCTGTGTCCCACAAGAGCTCTCTCTCTCTGCACCTTGGTGACGGTCTAGATTAGAAGATATACCAGCGGTTCTCAACCTGTGGGTCGCGACCCCTTTGGGGGTCAAACGACCCTTTCACAGGAGTCGCCTAAGACCATCCTGCATATCCGATGTTTACATGACAATTCATAACAGTAGCAACATGCAGTTATGAAGTAGCAGCGAAATTAATTTTATGGTTGGGTCACAACATGAGGAACTATTTAAAGGGCCAGAAGGTTGAGAACCACTGCTCTAGAGATGTGCGAGCCCAAGTCCAGTGTCGCTCAGTGAGCGGAGGATAATGGCAGCCGTTGGGGTGGAGGTGAAGTTTGTAGGGACGGTTCCCTTTCGAACTTGAACTTTCAGGATGCGTGTCTGCAGTGCCGCCTGTCATCTGGAGATGGGGTTTCTTTTCTGAAGCAGAGGTTCTCCTTGTAACTGATGCAGCGACACAGTCCATTTTATATCGCAGGCGACTCAGGTGATGGTATCGCCCCGGTTCAGAATGAATGACGATGTAAGGGCTGGCGTGGAGCCACGTGCATATATGTAGATCGCGGGGCTCACGTGTACCCCGTGTCACGCACACTGTCCAGCGCAGAGGAGAAAGGGTGGCGGGGCGGCCGCAGGCTTAGAGGAATTCTCTGGGCTCTCTGCCTCTGGGCAAGTCTGCCTTCCTCTCTGCACCTTCATCTCCTCATCTGTCAAGGGTGAGAGTCGAGGGAGGAGATGGGAAGGAGCTTGAGTTGCTAATATTTTTAAAATATATTTTTATTGGTTTCAGAGAGGAAGGGAAAGGGGGAGAGAGAGAGAGAAACATCGATGAGAGAGAATCGTGGATCGGCTGCCTCCTGCACGCCCCACACTGGGGATGGAGCCCACAACCGGGGCATGTGCTCTGATTGGGAATCGAACCGTGACCTCCTGGTTCACAGGTCGACACTCAACCACTGAGCCATGCCAGTCGAGCAGAGAAGGGTTTTTCG